ATATCTTGTCTCCTTCACATGTAAACAGTTGTTAATTGTAAAATACTTAACATAACTGCACAACAGCTGCTAGCAGAAAAAAACACACAGGCTCTGCGACACTTGTAGTTCATGTTGTGTTCTAATGTAGCCGAGGATCATAGGAGTCTGACGGAGACTTCGCATTTCAAGACCCAATCAGAAAGCGGTTGCAAACTCATTGTTTCCATACATCTCAGTTTCAGTGCGTCCAGATAAAAAGATTTTAAACAAAAACGGGACCAGCAGCGTTTCTTAACTTCTCTGCTTTAGCGGTTATAAAACTCCAGAGTAACCTTGTGTGAACGTGTGCATCCATGGCAGAGTTGGTGCGTTTGTGATGCGGTATCGGTCTTAGGTACTGTGTAACTAGAAATTGCGTAAATGCAAATAAATGGAGGCCTCCTCGTTGACTCAGCCTTGTAAAGGTCTTATTGACAAGAAACCAAAGCTGGGATGTGTCCTCATCTACAGCTAATCTGACCTAAAACACAGAGCGTCAGGGAATCGCTGCGTCCTTCCCCCTCTCAGCTCCTCTGTGTTCCCTCAAACAAGACACATTCAATATGTCGGCTACACAACACAAACACACAGGCATCAGAACTCAATACCTCCCAACACAGAAGAAAGCGTGCAGGATACATCGTGTCTGTTTCTGTGTGTCATACGATCACATGGGTGTGTGCTGCTCCGCACAGACAATGCACATGTGAATGGAAGTAAGTGTCTTCCCAGGAGAAGGTGTTGGCTTTCACTGACTTTTAAACACACACACACACAGAAAGACTCACACTCACACACAATGTAAAGGACCGGCTAGTCTTTAACTATTAACCAGGTAAGGGTGTGTATGTGTGTGTGTGTGTGTGTGTGTGTGTGTGTGTGTGTGTGTTGAAAGAGCTCGCAGGCACAGAGACAGGCAGACAGGGGGAAAGACAACTTCCATTCACATGGTGTTAAACCTATGTGAGACAAAGGCTGTGAGCCGGGACAGAGAAGAATAGAAGCTTTTGTCAACGTCTCCTTAGGAATTTAGAGCATCTGCTTGTTATATTTCACAGTTTACTTTGGAACGCTGATATTCATCATATCCACTTTCAAACACAGGTCTAACACCCTGTTTAGACCTGAAAATTACATTTCATATCAAGATTGTCTTTTAGTTTAGATCTGATTTGTGCTTCAGGCGTTATCGTCACAATGTTTTCTTCCCCCTTGCAGATTGACGAAACACATATTATGTTACACACCTCACTTTATTGAGAATTTTTACTTGTGCTGCCAATATGTAGACACTGCATTTTGCGGTTTGGCTTCGGATCAGTCAAACAAAAAGTACTAAACCTACACATCTACAGGTGTGTTGGTTTGAAAAGAAAAGACAGCTCAACACAAGAAGGACTTTGTGTCCTTCTTTCGTGAGACAAACTAATTATATCTCAGTAATACGTTGGGAGTTAAGTTACCAAGTTACCGGTTTGGACCCGAAAATGTAGCTTTCAGTATTTTGGCCTTGGCTGCTTGTTATTGTATTGTATTCAGTTGGCTAAAGAATAAACGGCCCCAGATGCCCAGGCCAGGCGACGCCCACTGCCCAAGCTATACACTCTAGTAGGAGACTTTCCCAGCTACTGTGCCCCGCCCACAAGTTGACAGGAGTGACATCATAAACCCTGATGATTTACTCCAAATCATCCAAATTAACTAATTAAACTAAGGGAACACTGTTTGGCCACTAAATACAGGTATTAATACATATATATGTATATATATACTCTCTCCTGTACACTGAGGGACATGTAAACCAGGGAGTCGGGAGGAAGTAGCCTCTAGGACTCTGCAGATATTACTAACCATGCACTGCTCATGACTGGGAACAGCTGGGTCTTGTCACAAATCATTAGGAAAGTGTTTATTCCTGTAGATGTGAGCGTGTGTGCACAGGAAGACCACAGGGCTGAAACATCTGAAACACTATGCACTGATAATAGATGCATTTAGAAAGCAAGACGCCAAATTTCCCATTTTTCTAAAGAGGATGTTTTGTTGGTTTTACAGCGTCCCTGCAGTGAAGTAAAGGAACTGTGCTTTTACTTTTTATTTTATAACTTTAATATAACCTTCACAATACATGGCGAACCAAATTGAGATTCCATTTATTATTTACAAGTCCACTGTGTCAGCAGTAACACAACATTGCTAAAATATGGTTCAGCAAAATCATCTGAACTGTAAATATACCTCTGAATGGTCATAAAGGTTTAGAAAAGGCATTTGAATGAATAAATGAACATTAGAGCCGACAGATTTATCAGTTGGCAAATGAAAAGTAACCGATGAGAACCTTTCACAAACTTTCAGACATGCACTTGAGTCCGGACATTTTCTTGAAATGAAATCTGGGTGGGGGCTGCATCTGAGAAGGCAACTGTCTGAGTCACATGCTCCAGATATTTTCTGGAACCCTGGTAAAATGTCCTGAATGTATTTCACAGAGTAAACAATGCGTAATAAGATATGTATTTATGATTATATTTTGCATGAAATTGATCCCTGTTAGTGTTTTCTTATTATTTATAGTCATTTGATGATACATTTTATGGTTAAACTATAATAAATCAACCCTCAGTTACATTTCTTTGGCACGAGGATTTGAAAATGACATCTTGGGAATCACTGCCAACTTTTTTTTTTTTTTTACACGTTCACTGATGCCTCTCTAAATTATCACAGAAGCATCGGCTCCTACAAAAATCCACGTCACTCCAATGAACATGCAGCTCAGCGTCCATGAGGTCGTTCCAAACTCAAACGCGATTGACCGACTCGGCTGCACCAACATTTGGTTTACATGAGGAATCTCAGTTTCTACTGCTCTGCCTGCCGCCATCTTTCTCCTCCTATATCTCTGTGAAAGTCTCAGATGACTGGAGCAGATCAAGGTCCGAGTGAGTGAAGCATTGTGTGTTGTCATCTGTCAATAAGAAATTCGTTTTTATTCTCTCTCTCCACCTTTCTGTGCGTCACTCTTGTCTGTTTATTGGTCTCAATCTCAGTAACACCCCCCCCCCACACACACACACACACACCCCCCCACACACACACACATCCAATA